TAATTTCAAGAAAACTATTAATCATTGACAAAGAAAATATCTTGTTTAAAATAAAATTTCAGTTATTTAGTAAACTGGGATTGATTGATCCATAAAGGTGCCGTAAATAGAAGCGGCTTTCGTTGAATAATTCATGTGTGTGTGGTCGAATGTCTTGTGTCAGGATAAACTTGATTTGTTTTTTTACATAAACAAAACAAACGTTCTCGCACTATTTGACGAAAACGACTTGAAGCAATAAGGAATATAAAAAAACTGCTCTAAATATATTGAAAAATATTATTTTAAATGAAAATTTTTATTTAACTTACTCCAAAATTAAAACTACCTAATAAACTGGTCACAGTTAAAAATAAAAAATCTTTATCCATTTGTTCAGCATCTTTCTTTCTGTTTGATGTTAATAAAATATATGTATTATAAGTTCCAAAAGGTATTGCTTCAACAACAACAAAAAGAAGTTGTAAACAAACCATCATAACTAATTGACGATCGGCACCAGGTAATTGACGAGCATGAGTTAGTTGACGCATATTTTTATATGCAAGAAAACCGAATGTGACTAGTATTACTGCAGGAATTGCCAATAAAAAACAAAAGAAATTGACAGATGAGTAATAAGTAGCCAAGAATTCACTATTGAATACACATTTGTTTGATCTAAATATTTCAATTTATCACATAGATGCAAGAAATACATTGAAAAGTATTTGAAAATGTTTTTATAGAAACTAAGCAATGATTAATATATAAACACTTATGCGGAATGTCATTCTCTAATTGAAATTGAGTCGAAACAACAACGATTTCGTTGAATCTACTTATAAGATCTGAAACTTTTGTATAAATTAACATCTCAAATAAACTAATTCTTACATAAAATCTCGTCATTTTTTTCCCAGTTCATTTGCGCAATGTGAATAGTTATAAAGATGGATATTTTTCTATAATTATTATGCAAAATAGGAATAGTTGGAAAAAAACCATATTCGCGAATATAATATAAGATTATACTAGTCTATTAGTTGTCTACATATGCACACAATATAAAAGCCAACACAGTACATCTCTGAAAATTTAGTACTGATAAAACAACTTTATTTTTAGTTATTTTAATTTATCCATTTGCCAGTATAACTTTAGTTAACATTATTATTTCCAGAAAATCGTTTTCATTTGCAAAATATATCTCAAATCTTCGCATCTTATGCACGACCATGCACGACTCTTATTCTTTCAAATAGATCTTATCTGCGAAAACTATTCGTTTTTGAGTCGGCATGGAATTTCTGCTATTTTGTAGTATTCATATTGTTCATTACAAGAATTTTATTTTTTTCTTTCGACGTGTATTTATGTATAAGTGTGTACATACATTTTTTAAGTTTTCGCGATTCACTGGACATTATGTGCCGAATGTGAAGCCTGTTGAGTCCAAAATTTTTGGACTCGACTCTGATTCCGAATCGTATTCTTGACAGTCAACGAAGTTTGTTTTAATTCGCACTTGCTAGGAACATGCTCTCAACATTTCTCAAACAATATTGGAGATGATCTTATAAGAATCAAGTTATAATTCACTCTTTTTTTTTCAGAGTAGCACCCGTGAAGTCGAACTCAGATCCGAACCCGGTAAACAGAAAATGTTTAGGCCCGAAACCGACGGGCTCTAGTCGAATGTCTTTGACTTCTAGAGAAAAGAACTTGAAAATTTATCTTTTTTGTAAAGTTAAAACAAAACATATATAAGATGGCTCAATATTTTCTTTACAAAGAACAACAAATTTTAATAACTTCATATTTTAACCAAAGAAGTCGATCTTTTTACCATTAAGAAAGCGATATTCACAAGAAAAGTGTCCTATAAAAGATGCTACTAGGGATGTACCGAGACCGAGACTAAACCAAGAGACTTAGTCTCGATTAGTTCTTGTCGCACTCTCACACAATGTTGGTATCAAGGAGGTAAAAATAGCAGTCGTAGGATCTCAGAATAGATTAGGGGTAAAAGAAAATCATGCAGAAAAGTGTTTTCCTGAAAATATCACGTAATAACATCTGGTTAAATGGATGAATGAAAAACAATGGAGAAATTGAATTTGTGAGAAGAAAATTCATGAGAGGCTATTCTGCAGATCGACACCGAGTTCAAGACATTAGGGCTGGTACCGATATCGCGACTGACTAAGATTCAGACCGAGACCGAGAGGTCCGAGCTCGGTACATGCCTAGATGCTACTATGAAATATTATCGTTCATTTCAATAAAGACCTGTAACACTCGACAAGTTATAAAAAAATATTTCAATTAGCTAACAATTATTTGTTTTCTATAACAAAGACTTATTCGCTACAATGAATCAGGTGACAAAAATTTATAGTAAAAGTTTAAGATCGATTAACAATTGTTTGGCGTAATTAGAGGAGTAAATAGATTTTAACTTACTGTATTTGATTGTAAACGAGAAAAGGAATACTTTGAAGATGCCATATAACAACACAAACAGCAGAAATTCGNATTCAAAGTGACTCATCCAAGTTTTACATGGAGAATCAACTGTAAAAGTGCTTTGCAATTAATTCGGACAAGAATTCTAGAGGTATAATCAGTACTTCGATTTAGTGCAATCAAGATTTGATGACGAGTAATTAAACTGATAAATCGTAAATTCACCCAACGTGTAACGATATATGAGAGACGACATTCAGTATCAATAAGAAACATATCCTTGATGATATCGATTAAACGAGATATATTCGAACTTCCCATTATAAGTTGTAATGCGCGATAGTGTGTCAAAAATTTCAAATTTTTATTCATTCGATGGTCGGGCTATTTTTTAATCTGATCAATTTCTTGTTTGGACGGTACCTGCAGATGATTAGGGATTCATATTGCAAATTCAAAGATGATTATCTCTTCATCTATCGATGGCTCATTTCGTAATTGCCCGAATTCTTTTACAGGTAAAATTTTGCACTTGTGATCACTTTCAATAGACCTTTTTAGTCTGTGAACAATCGAAATCCAACTCGACTAATAACATAAACAATACAATACTATTATTAGATGATCAACTATACGAAACCAATAACCTGATATCTGTTTTCTTTATTTTGAAAATTTGTTTTGATTGAAAAGAATCCCTTTTAAGACTGATAACGACTGTATTTATAATCGATAGTCATATATCGAATTTTATACTTATGCCATCTAGCATCGGTATACATTCATTGCAAGCAAATAGTCATCAAATATGTTTATTAATAGATCAATATAACGCTGTAAAAATGCAGTAAATTTTAAAAGTGTTTTGCCCAGATACATATACACACTCAAAAGTCGAGCAATCATTGATTTTCATTCATAGCTATATTTTTATTTGCAAGTTTAACAACAAAAAAAGCAGACTCTTGATTAGTTGTTCAAAAAGAAACAGCTTTAAAAATACAAACATTCAAATAATCAGATCTTGAAGACGAACAATACAGCTAGCCAGAGAACTACTGACCCGGGTGAGTCATAATCGAAAGCGTTTAGTCAATCAGAATTGCGTGAAGAAGAATCAAGGTCAGGATCCAATTTGAATAGAAGCTAGATGAACATGACGGACTCGAAGAAAAGTATTTGTCAGATGATGGAATCTGTCGCAGTTCAGAAAATGTAGATAGTTTTATTGAATCAACATGACTGTGATAGAACGGAGTCGTATGTGAAGTAGAAAATGTAGATGATTTCATTGAATGTATATAGCTATCATACAATGGACTTGAATCGAGTGTTTCGACTAGAGTGATCACTTTTCCTGGTTGATCATTACATCGATTGGTATGACAACAAGTTAGATTATGATATTTGTCGGGTTGTTGACGCATTTGTTCGCATTTGGTAATGGACGTCCATCCACGATGCCATTTGATGCTTCCATTTTGTCGATCTTCTTGTGTACATTGTGATAAATGATTTGCTGCTTTTGGTAAATACGAACAAGCATCTCGATAGCTGAAACAAGCGCAACCAACAACTGAACATAGTTCTCCTTCGAAAGTTGCGTATTGTGTTGTATGTGCTTCATGAAATGAATAATTCAATAATCTGTTTGATCCACGACTTCTTGTTTCCTGATCATCATAAGTCGTATAGCAAGTGACTGAATCTCTTGCGTAATTGTTACCCAAAACTTGGTGAGCAAGATAGAAGAAAAGTGCTGTCTGGAGAGAGAAAAGCATTTCTCTCATCGATGTATACCTGAAAAGAGCAGACGAATATTACAGTTATCAATAAGTTAGACTCGATGTGTCTCCGTTATATACAGTAACTCGACACGGCTTTGTGTCTTGTTTTTCTTTCGTTCCTTCTGTCGTTGACAGCAACAAGGCGGTGGGTGTATCGGATGTAGAAAATTATAAGAAACGAAGTCTAAAAAAAGTAATGCGTGGTAATTGACGTTCTATTCTCTTAACTTGTCATGGCTCCCTTACTCAGGGAGTTGACAAATTCCGCATCATATGTTTTTCCTAATTGACTTATGATTGCAGAGAAAATTTCTTTATTGGAGATAGCATATCCTAGTATATTTTATTACGATATAGCGGAAAAAATAATAAATATGGGTTTTTCTACCTTCCAAGATTTACTAAATTATGGGAATGAATCAAATAGACTTTTACAACGTGTTTTTGAACAATCTTGGATAGCAATTATAGTAATTCACTAAAGGACTTTGGTCAAATAAAACATTTTGTTTAATAAAGTTTCAGCATGTGCCATTATTTAACCATCTACAAGTTGAGAATGGAGAAAAAAAAACAGTACCACGTCGATCGCCCTTCTTCTTTGTCACCGAGGCGGTTCGAACGCGAGATACATTTGCGTTCTTTATCATATTTCCACTGCTGACAACATCTATCTATCAATACGGATGAAAAAAACGTCTCTGTGTTGCTCATTTGAACTTTTCTTTTCTGCCAATACATCAACTGCACATATCTATCGTCGTTCGTTTATGTTAATCTTCCATGTTATTCTCGTTTGACTGTGTCTATTGTTTTGGTCTCTCTCTATTGCCTTACTTCTTTTTATTGTTATTGACTATTGCGATTTGAAATAATTCAAATCAGGAACAGAAGAAAATGAATCCTTTTATTCATGAAACGTATCAGATTATCATTGAATGAAAATAAAGGGATGTATGTACTCTTTGAAGTTTATATCATTTAAAAAACGTAGAAATATTGAGTTGTTTTCCCGTGGATTTTATCCCAAGTAATGAAGCAGTGATCGCATGCATCATCATTGAACATTCGAGGACAGAATCTATGATCATTCCTAAACTAACAAGCATATTTGAATATGAATATCGAAAAGATTTTTCACTCATACTTCTTGTGTGACGCTGCGAGAGAATTCATCTATTCACCTTTTCTTTTTGAGATTCCTAAGCATAAAATCCGTTTGATAAGAATAGTAAGCACGAAACTGTTGTCGAAGGATACTCTTCTAAATATCTGAGGCGCTTTAAAGTCAAACAATTACGTGTCAATCAAGGACTATGCAACTCCTCGGCAACGTTTGACTAACCAAATCCATTCAGGTCTTCAATTAAAATACTCGAACGACATTGAGAAATTAGGATTTGTCTTAGTTTGATAGAGATGCTTCTTGCAAATACTAAATACACTATTTCTAATGTTCTTCTGTAATCAGACGAATAGTCTTTCTATTCAATTAAGATCCATCGATTGCACACGACACTGTCACTTCAAAAAGACTAATAAGAATTCAAATGCAATAGAAAAGCTGTAATTTTTGTCATGACTCATCGAATATATTGGTTGCCTATCATCCCCCTATCTGACAACTCGAACGAACAGACTATGCATTGAAGTCGTTTACTCGAAATGAAGTTAGTGTAGTAATTCCGAGAAACATAACTACCTGTAACAAGTTCGATTTGATCACAAATATATGGGCCAATCGATCGTTTCTTCGTTCACAGGAATACAATACATCATACGATGACAATTCTTCATTCATGGATACGGTCTGCTCTCTCATTTTTTAAAAACTGTTTACAAAACCTTCATGAATTCTAATCCAAGCTAGTGTAAAAATTATGAATGGCAACAATTAAGTCTCAGTAATTGTTTAATGAGTATTTATTCAAATGCAAAGTAGGTAATACGCTCGATTGCGGTCGAACTAAAATTCAACTCCAGTGGCCAATGATTTACTCACTTCATTCTCGTAAAATATTATTGAATATAGAATGTGACTCTGGATGTATTGGTTAGCATGCCTACATGCGCGTTCTCAAACAAGCATTCTGTCAGTAGATAACGTTCTCTTCATACCGAAATAATTCTGGTGTTTTTTAGTTTTTCTTGCATTAGACAGATGACTCATTTTTTTCATGTATAAGAATACAGTGTCCGAAGCATGACACACAACTAGTATAAAGCTGTCGTTTCTCTGAGAGTGTGGGTGCTCTGGAAGATGAGTGTGTGATTAGACTATTTCTATCGCACCCACACCCTTCTCAGCTAATAGACAGGTTTCATTCGATTTAAATCTTTTTTAATTGATTATTCAAAATACAGCAATTATAAATGATTATTAGAAATCGATTTCAATTGATTAAAGTTAGTTAACTCAAAAAAAAATATTAAAAAATATTACAATTAAATAAAATCTGTCTTTTTGGCTGAAAAGTCTGATTAAAGGCAGGCTCAAATAGTGCCATTTCAATTAACTTTTACGTCAGACACAATCGATTTTTATCTGATCTTTAACCGCTTTTCTATATGGACAAATGAGTCTCCAAATATTTTTTCTAAATGTTTGGTTCTATAGGTAAATGTAAGGAAAAGCTTAGGCAACGAATAGAAGACCAGTTTTGGAAGAGTTACATAAACTTTCGTAATAGAAAGCGATAATTTTTTGTTCCATGGAAATGGGCAAGGAATTTATTTATTGCCATTTTAGTTTAAGTGTTGAGCTAGCAATTGTTATCGTATTTTGAAGCATGACATGCCAAAGGTCGACCTAGTATTACACGTACTATTTGTCGTAGTAAGGAGTTCAGAAAAAAATGATTTTTTCTAGTTTAACTTTCAGAAATACATCTTTCATCCGTATCATTATTGAAAACGGTTAAAAATTGAATAATCCTATTCGGATTATTCAATACAAAAAGTATCATTGTCATTCACTTTTTAAACAGAAGAAGAACATTAATGGTGTTTAATTACATAGTAACTTTGACTGTGGTACTTTCGAAATAACATAAAGTATGGATACGAATTTCGAAAGCAATCACATAATTTTTATGAAGATTTTAGATCTTGTACTACGCTTACTCAGTTTAGACGTCCTGCCCGGTCCTGCTCTGAGGGCACAGCAGAGCAAAAAAAATTCCATGTGACGCTCTCTGCTACAAAATGTTTATTTCGTGAAAGTTACAAAGACACAATAATCTATATACTAAGAAATGCTACATATCAAACAAAAAAAAACAACGAATTCTCTTTTGTGTGATGTACAATTGTGTAATTTTAGTTGTCATCTGCGGTAGTAATAGCGTCAAAATCTGAATGATTTAATCCTGAAATGCTCTCCTTTAGGACTACTACTTGTTGATCACCTGGAGTCCGGACGGATCTCAGCCTGATAAAATAGCAACAATATACTATATTGCCATTATTTTGTAATGAAACTAACGTATGATGCAAAAGTAATGGGACCAATGTCGAGCCCTATTTCTCTTCGATAGAAGGGCACTAGAAGAAATACTGTTTTTACCAGAAGATAGATCTTTTTCTCCTCTTTCGAATCATATACAACTTGTTTTTGTAATACGCTCATAAATGAAACGAAGCAACTGAAAAAAGAGGCACCCTCAAAAAGAATCCGCACTTTTTCTATCATAGGATCGTACAAAATGTTGAGCCATATATCTCTTCGATAAATTGGTTCTTAAAAGAATATTTTTTTCTCAGTCAATAGGAAATTTTCTTCTCTCTCGAACAATGTATGATTTATATTTGTCACACATTGTTAAATGAAATGAGACAAGAAAAACGAGAAACACTCGTGCAATAAGTTTGTAATTTTTGTGGACTTACTAGAAAGATCTTGTAAAATGGTGATTATTTCGACTTTCATGAACTCAATGAAAACGTTTTGTCAAACAACAGTTAACAATAATTGACTGCTGTCTACAAGATGCTTTTCACAAACTCATACAGAAATTACAAACTGCGGATTCTTTTTGAGGGAGCCTCTCTAATCTCTTTTCAGTTGCTTCTTTTCATTGATGAACGTATTACAAAAATAAATTAGATATATGATTCGAAAGAGGAGAAGAAGCTCTATCTTCTAATAAAGAAATATTTCTTCCAGGACTCTTCTATCAAAGCGAAATGGAGGCTGCATTTCTCCGGTTACTTCTTCATCATATGTAAGTTGGGTGTAGGTGTTCTATTTCTTATCATTTGACTTATCATCAACAATAAAGACGATTTCATTTTCTTTCAGTGCTCTTAATCTTGTTGCAAAATCTCGATTAATTTCATATCGATTGGCCAAGTACTGAAATTTTCATAAGTGTTCTTCATTAATCAACAGGAGCATTTTGTTAAAATGAATGAAAACCAATTTGACTCGGATATGATTATGGTGGTGGTAGTGAAGATACACTTGCAGGAAATTGTTCTGAATACATATTTGATTACTTTTAACACTTGTAAGCAATAAATAGAAACTCAAAAACTTGTTCTTTTTCCTTTTTATTTCTCTGACTTCTTTATTTCTTTGTTTGTATCTGACGTCAGAAACAAATATTGTGTTCGAACAAAAAAAAAAAACACGCGCAAAAATCTAGAAATATATATCTTTTCATGTTTTATCAGTGTCTCAAAAAAAAAAAAGAAAAAGAAGAAATTATGACACTAGATTGAATCATAATTCGCGTCGAACTTTCAAAAATTGTCCTCATTTTGACGGCAACTCAATGATGAAGAAATAAAGACACCATTTTTTGATTCAGAATATAGCAATTATTCCGTGTTCGATTATTTCTTTCTCTAGTATATATCTCAAAAAAAAAAAGAATAGAAAATGCAATATGCACAACCTATATCTTAGATCTTCTCATATTAAAAAACAAAGATTTTAAATAACTAATACAAAAAAAGACGTCATAAACATATTCTCATTGACAAATATGCTATGAGTGTTATATCATTGTCAGCTTCTTTTTTTTTTAAGAAAATCGATTCAAATAAAATTATATACAGCATTCACAATAAGACGTTATTTAAGAATTTTAATTCATTAATAAAAAAGAACACGATTACCAAAATAACGGTCACCAAGTAGTAGATGAATCTGTAATAAAAAATCAAACAATTATATTATATATATTCAAATTATTCTATCAATAAAATGTAATAAACAGAATTTGGTTGAAAGGACAAAAAAAAAAATTAGAACTTCATATTGAAAAACACTATCGAAAAAGCTATCCCAAATAATCAATTTTATTCTATAATTTTATGAAAAATATATCTCTTATACATTGTGAAAAATTATTTATAAATACCTTGCTATAAAATAGTACATCGTCGTTTTTTTCGTTTACGACCATAATCTTTATTCGATCGCCCATAACCATCTGGGGAAACTTTTTTTTCATCTAAATCATCAAACCAACTATCAACGCCACCCATTAGTATTTTAACCACATACTTAATAAAAATAAATATTCAATAAAAAGAAAACAAATTTATTAATGAAAATAATATAAAATGACTTACATCACCAAAACTAAATGGAAAATCTTTTCCTTGACGTGCTTGAATTTCTTTTTTTTCATTTCTATAATCATCAACAACATCAAGATTAGGGATCTTCCTATCCCAATCATTTAAATATTTAATACAATCGTCTTCATCTATTGTAAAGAAATATTAAAAAATCGAAACAAAACAACTCTATCGAATTCAATGATCAATTTTAATTTATCTTGTACCTGTACAAGCAATAATTGTTACAGGAATACGATTTGTTGGTTTACGTTCTTCTTTAAGAACATGTTTAAATGAACGAATATCTCGATTACCTTGATCATCTGTTGGTACACCATCCGTTGCTAAAAGTATTAGTAATTTACGTTCTTCTATTTCATGTTGTTTATCACGAAGTACACGTCGAAAAACTGGAACAATCGGAGTGGGACCTTATTAGAAGAAAAGAGAAATAAAAGAATTCATTGAACAAGAAAACAACAGCATTATTCAACTATTATTATTGAACATACCAGATGGTGGAACAGCAAAGACAGGGACCAATTGTTCTGAATTACGAACGTGAAATACAGGTTCACGATTAAGAAAATAAATATCAACACCATCTGGATCAAAAACACTAGCTAGGTCAACAATAATTGATACGGTTTGTTTTAATTCATCCCCTATAATTATTAAAATTAATATTCAAGTATTGATCTATTTGATCCTACATCGAGATGGTTTTTTATCAAAAGGACCAGAAAGATCGCCTAAAAGAATAAACGATAATTTAATTGAGTAAATATATTACACGTTTAAAATTAAATTACCAAGTGGAGTATTCATCGAACCTGAATCGTCACAGATAAATACTATTTCATAGCCTTCAAGTACACGTAATTTTGTCGCAAATGTATGGTTGACTAAATAATAATGAGAAAAACACACATTTTTTTTTTACTTATTAAACTCACTTTCATAATGAGCAACAAGTTGTTGAAAATCAACCATACGTTCTTCAGCTGGCCGGTAATAATTCAGTGGTTGTTGATTAGCATTCATATTATTTTGATATGGTGGTGGTTCTTGTTGTATTTGTGGATATTGTTTTGCGCACATAGTTTTTCTTGTTCTATTTCACACGTGGAATTTGCAAAATTTGACTATCAGCCAAGATAAAAAGTTACTTATAAATTGTAGAATTCTAAAGAAGCGAAAGAATGAGTTTTATTTGCATTGAAAAAGAAAATAGATAACGACCAGGAGAATGATGATGCATCCGTTTTAAACAAAAGGGTGGGTCTGGGTGTGTGATTGTGGATAAGGAGCCCTCACTCACATTCACACATTCACTCCAGTAAACCCACGCACGTACAAGCGCATTCCCAGCTACACTCACACACCCACATCCCTTTAGCTATTTTATTCAATGGCCGTCTCATTGAACTATAATCGTAAGTAGCTAAATATGTTCCCAGTGCCAGAATTCGTCATAGTTGATTGAAGTATTGTTGAGTATCTCGTGTTCAGTCGAGAAAACTAATGCGATAAGAAATAGGGAAAAGCGAAGAAAGAGAAATACATTTCATCAGATAATTTGATAAAGCAAGCACGAGAGAGAAACTAAACTTGAGTGATATAATTATTACAGCTCAGGCTGCCTGTACACATACGTGTTCTCATATTCCCCTTTATATACAGAGTTATATGTAAAAGTTCAATGGTATTGCATGAAACATCATGCTTGCACGAATATTAAATTTTCTTGAGTAAAATATATACAGTTCGATTTGGTATGTTTTCATAGCTTCCAACAAACTTCTTTTTCTCGGCCTGCCTTAATCTGACTCAGAGTGTCTGTAGACCAAACTAAGAGGGTGTGGGTATATTCCGTGTCCACATCTGCAACGCAGAACGAAACATACTCAGTGGTTAATAGAGCATGTGGGCGTGGGTGTGAATATGGGTGTGTCTGGGTAGATACAGTGTGGAGTATGCCTTTGCATTGAATACTGACTCACATCCCGACCAACCCACGTTGGCTAATAACCACAGGATGGATGACGGTTTCTAAGAAAATCGACCCAATTAAATTTTATTAGTTACTTTGTATAGAAATAAAGAGCATGTTGATAGAAAGTATGCCTTACATTTTGAAATGATTTAACTGAATATTTACAAACTTAGGATCCGATAACATTTTTAATTTTCTATGTATTATATAGGAGAATTCTGATTAGCAAAACCAATCGGTAGAGTTTTTCAAAAGCTATGAATTCATGGAAAATTTACCAAGAAAAAAGCTGTAATTTATTTGAAATGTAGAAGGTTTCGTTCGTATTGGCAAAGCCGGCTTTTTTTTACCAATGTTCAGCAATTTCGCTTATGAAAATCATATTTTCAAGCAAAATAGATCGTATATTCGAAATCAGCACAAAACTAACGCCGATCTATGCGTTTCAAACTTTTCTGATGAGTTTAATTTTCGATCAAAGTTGCAGCCTTAGTCTCGTTCAGGACCGGCTCCGACAGAAGTTGAAAAGTGAAAGTCATCAGAAAAGTTTGAAACTCTTACAGATCGACGTTATTCTGGGGTACTAATCTTAAATATACGACTTCTTTTTGGTTGAAAATATAATTTTTATAAGCAAAATCGCTGAACACTGGTCAAAAAGAAAAGACCAGTTTTACTTACGTGAACAAAACATTATATATTCCAAATATATTCACAACTTTTTTTTCTTGACAAATTTTTCATGGGTTCATAACTTTTGAAAAACTCTACCGATTGGCATTGAAATCGGAGTGAGAAAATTTTGCTTCTGTGTATATGTCAGCTTATACCAAGTGTTCGCGTCATATTTTAATGGTAGTCAGCAACTATTTCAACAAAATTCGTTTTTTCTAAATTTCCAATAAATGATTGTTATATAGGCTTTTCAAGTATTTTTTCATGATCTATCTATGATATATAATTCGTTTAGTTTGCATTAAGTAATAAGTACATATGTCAAGGAACACGAATAAATTTTACTAATCAGAATTCTCCTATATAATACATAGAAAATTAAAAATGTTATCGGATCCTAAGTTTGTAAATATTCAGTTAAATCATTTCAAAACGTAAGGCATAGTTTCTATCAGCATGCTCTTTATTTCTATACAAAGTAACTAATAAAATTTAATTGGACCGATTTCTTTAGAGGCCGCCACCCGTCTTTCATTATCACATCCAAAGCTACTAGTAGAAAAGAGAATTTGAATTCTATTTGTTGGGTATTCAAGATAGAAATGGAACAACTCATATATTAACCTATCGGGTGATACGAGTTATATTGGAGTGTTTAAAGGAGTAAATACCTGAAAAATAAATAGATTTCGTTAAACCATCTGAAGCTGGGAGTTTTAAAACTGAATAGAATTCAGATCAAAAGCCGACATTCTACCTACGAATATAGAAGTCCAAGAACAGATAGTAATCTTTGATGATGCCAAACTGGCACATCCATAATATATTCCTACCGCTTTATATATCATGGATGAAAATAATTGTTGTTTCTTTTCTCGTCTGCGCCTCTTTGATTTTTTCTCTTTCGCCAAATTGGTGTTTATTGGCAACGTGTGATGAAACCTACAAGTGCACTTGTCAAATAAACAGGCGACAAAGTACAGAATCATTAATCGGCACGAAAAAAAAAACGGTAAGAAGTGAATGATGTTTGTTACTTTGAAAAATCTAGGCAGCGATGAGAAGCAGAAGGAATTCTTATTTCTTGTTGTGTTAGTAACCGATGATGGAAGTCTGAAGGATGCTACACAGAGAAAAGAAAATAATGAAGATTCAAAAATTTGTTAAACAGAACAACAATGAATCTGAATTGCATCACAAGATTGGAAGTTTCCATCTCAATCATTATTCGATTGGACCACTTTCTCTAGTCAAAAAAGGGTGTGGGTATAGATTTTCGCTTCAACAACACTTACACCTACATCCACATCTGCACCCACACCCTACAATCAGATTTATAAGTAGTTGTAATACAAGATATTGTTTTTAAATAACATGCTTGTAAAAATAATGCAACTAATCAAGTCAAATTTTACATTATCTTCATTTTTATTGATTTTTAAGCTTAAAGACTAAAAAACTCGAATATGAACGAAAACATATTTGATTAGAAATCGAAAATAATAAAAGCTATTTAAAAAAATATGAATATACCGATCATATTGAGAGAACTATATTCAATTTGCAATCAAACGAAGGAACTACATTCGTTGTCAGTGAGAAATTTAAAAAAAAACTTTTTGAAGAGTGAATGTGAATGCATTATCGAAAGATGCCCGAACCGTAACGGCTTAATTTATTGTGTATTTGTCGCGAAAATAGAGAAACTCAACGTTTTGTTTACAATTTTCAAGAAATTTCAATCAGATCAAGAACTGAAAAAACGTCTGTTGTAAAATTGCTTAGTCTGACGTTTAGTAATATTTAAATGATTTAACTTGAGATTTTTCATCTCGGTCACAGTCTTGATCTGAGAATGTGTAGACATATTTGAATGAAACGAACAGATAATCTGATTTCAACATGAACGCCTCAAACAAACAATCATCTCATTGCAGTCTACTTATCCAATGAAATGTTAATCATTATCTTGAACATATTTGATATGCTATTCTATTTTTTTTACATTATTATCGTGGTGTCATACAGTTATACCTGAAGAAAGAAAATGAAAAACTAATTTACTATGCTCAATCTCTTAATGGAAATGCATGTGTTTTAGTATCATGTTCTTTTGATTATGCTTTTTTACATAGAAGTTTCCTATTTTTATTTCTATGTTTTCAAAAACTCTTTTATTTAGAATCATACTCAAATTAGAACTGCAATGCATAATAAAGATATAAAAGAATCATATTCTTTTAAATATTCTTGATTTTAATAACGAACGAAAGACAATTTCACTCAGCATCTTAATTTAATTTAATTTGACTAATTTACTTTTTTAAAATGAGTAGAAGGTTATTGTCGAGAAAGATTAGCAAATTCTGAAATAAATATTATCAATCAAACAAATGAACATTTTTAGGTCAGTTATGGTTTTTGAATAATATTTTTCATCTCATTGAAAAATAAGTGTTCTTTTTCTGTTGAAAATTTTCTGATCGTAGTTTAAGAATATTATGTTTATTGTGAAAACAACTAGACAAATCAGAATATGATTAATGGATAGGATAATTCGCTGTTGTTAAGTTAGTTTCCATCTCATCAAATATTTCACAATTATAGAAAGATATTCAATTGATTTTTGCTCAATGAAGATTTTATTTTTGTGATCAGAATAGGATACGAACTTACAAAAAAGAAATATGATAATTCTTTCAGAATCTAATATATGCGATCATTCAATCCGACAATTGGAATCTTGAATCTGATTTCCTATAACTTTTCTAGTTAGAAACAGTTGGACATTATTTAAATTGGGTCGTGAAGAGAAAAATATATGACGTCTAGTTATTTAATTTGTTTTATCAATTCTTGTTTCGTGTCATATAGGCTTAGCTTTGTTAAAATATGATGTATAGCCATTCATTGAGAAAGGGTGTGAGTGTCGGTATGGGTGGGGTTGAGTGTGGATGAAGGCTCAATATTGACTATTCTCTTTTGCCACAGTTACACTTCCACGCCCAGTGGGTGTTCCTAAGTGTGACGGGATTTTTGTTTGCTCGTGTTCCGTCTTTAATATTTCTGCAAAAAAGGTGAGCAAAGAAGCTACAAATTTCATGATTAGGTAAGCACATGTTTTGTGTATCTATTGATGAAAAGAATTTTTTAAAAAAGGTTAAGAAGTAATTGAGTTATGAACGGTAAAATGAAGTCGATTGATCGAATTCTATATATAAGCGCAATGTCCTCAATAAGAGCACCAATGCAAAAGTTGCACCAGCATAAATATATAAAAGAACAGGCAACGCTCGAAAATCGTGTCTTATACGCTTAGAAACTTCAAAATAAATAAGTAAATTGTCTTTAATTGGAACAGATCAACACAAAATTCATGTAAATTATCTTATCTAATGTAATTTCGTCTCCGTCTGCTAGGTAATCTCGAAATGGACCCTTGGCTCGGGACAAAAGTTACTCAGCTCAATTTTCTCCATAATATATTAGCGGTTCAGTCTGAATTGTTTACTCCAAGGATTACTTTCTTAGCTTAATATAACATCTCGATACTTCATTCAATAGGAAGTGTCACGTTTTTCCCGTTTGGCTATTCACTTATATCATGAGGTGTAGTCATATAATGTGAGATTTCTATATGGTCGAAGTGCTATACTTATTTATCAACTGAGAACATATCATCAGTGTACATTGAATGTAAAATAAATTATTCTTATTAGTCGTTTTAAAGATATACTGATAGTCCATGAACTTATTATTTAACTGCTTAAATGGATGTTTTCATCATTGATATTGAAGAGTATATTTTATATATTCAGTTCAGCACACAAACTCATAAAATATAAATAACCTTTAAACAAAAACCTAATTGTTTTTTTTTTAATTATATAAATTACTGAGTTTGATTTATACATCAGAATATGGAACAAAGTGGGTATAGTAAAATGGTGTAATATATTTTGGGGTTACGGCCACTTGCCCGCCAGACAGATGCCCGCAAGACATTTGCTCGTGCAACACGTGCCCGCAATGGACAATCGTGAGGGTGTGGGTGATGACAAGTGTCATGGGGGCAACTGTCTCGCGAGCAAGTGTCCTAGATTCATATTTTGCTGTACATATGATGTTGAATCTTTTGATAAAAGAATAATATAAACGATTAACAACAATCGGTACACTTTCTTTCTTTTTTTCTGTTGTTATTTTGTCAAAGACACAAACATGGAAGACAACTGTTGTAAAATATAACGTGAAGCAAGAAAAAAAGAGAATATAAACCACATGCTTCATACTTTATGTAACAAGTTTACTTACTTACAAACAAATGTCAATTCTTAGTAAGCTCTTCCTAAATAAATCGTCGAGAATTTTATAATAAAACGTCCCCGAAAAGCACACTGAAGATTCTTCAATGCTTCAAAGAATTTCTTTTGTATTACTCGGACTTTGGACTCGACTTGTTGATTTGCTTTAATTGACGATTGTTTATTCTCAAAGCAATTCAGTTGTCTAATAAACTTCACTAAATAATTCCCCATGTGATTCAAGTCGGACAAAACCGACGGTAGTATCAACAAGCGTGCAATGTTTTATTATCAAATAGATAAAAAACAAAAGTGAGATGATTAATATTTTCGCATAAAAATCCTTATTAAAATTCATCGAAAAGAATATAAACGATAATTTATCGTTATTTACTCAAAGAAAAGAGAAAGGAAAAAAATGAGTTTGAGTCATTTTTTTTTGTTTCTTATTGCGTTTCAAATTACAGTAAGAAAACATATAAAAAACAAAATACAAAAAAGAACATACAATGTTGAGTTGTTTGATTTTAGACTTTAGAAAAAAAAAAGAATTTTTTTTCTGAAATTAAATTATGTCAATACAATCAAAATTACAATTAGAAAAATACCAATATGGTACTCATGTTCTGTTAGGACGCCAGTTCTATGGAATGTCTGGGAAAAAACTTTATTTTGGTCAATGGACATTCAAAGATCCAGACCCAATAATAATCGTTGAAATGAATGAAGAAATAACCGAACGTGAAGCTTCTTTTTATCGAGACTTGAATGGTCACAATAATATTATTCGTACATTTGGCTATGTAGAAAATATTTTAAATTCAACAATATTTGTACAAGAATATGCACAACAAGGTGATTTAGCTAATTGGTTAATGGATAATCAAACAGATTTATCTTCAACGTTATCAATTGAAATATTTTGTCAAGTGGCTGATGCAATGAGTTATGTTGCAAGTAAATCAATTGTACATGGTGATTTAGGTTGTCGAAATATTCTTGTTTATAGAATAGATTCATCGAAACCTGAAAATACTTTAGTTAAAATAACTGATTTTGGTCTTGCACGTTCTATTGATCATCCACCTGTTAATAATAATTCTTCCATTGTTCCAATACGATTTTGTGCACCAGAAATTCTTGAAAATAATGTTCATACAAATTATTCTGAAAAATCCGATGTTTATTCAATGGGTGTTTTAATGTGGGAAGCTTTATCAAATGGTGAAATGCCTTTTTCATCAATTTTTTCCGATGATACTGTTAAACGAATGAAATTAAATAATGAAAGATTAAGTCAACCATTGAATTGTGATCGACAAATTTGGATTTTAATGGAAAAATGTTGGTCATTTAATCCAAAACAAAGATTTAATTTTGAACAAATTAAAGATGAATTATCTGAAATAAAAATTTGTGAACCATCCAATATTCAACAATCTATTTTAACATATCAGTAAATAACATTATTTTTGAAATTAAATTAATTAATTAGTTTTTTTTCCTTTTCAAGATCATCACCAATATCTTATGATTTTACACTTAATATTGATGTTGCAATGAATAAATCATTAGATGGAAGTTATGGTAAAGTTTATGAAGGACAATGGCTATTAAAACAAGAACGACCCATTGTTTTAATTAAAATAGATAAGCAAATAACAGAATATGAATATTTATTTTATACAGAATTTAAATCTCATCCTCATATTATTCATACATTTGGTTTTGTTGAAAATGATCTTCAATCAATATTATTATTACAAGAACGTGCTCCATATGGTAATCTTCAAGTATTAATAGAAAATCATCAATTTCAACCATCAACAAAAGTACTTATGGAAATTTTCTTACAAATTATTGATGCAATGATTTATATAACTCAACAAAATATTATACATGGTGATTTATGTTGTTCTAATGTTCTTGTTTTTGAAATGAATGAATCAAAACCAAATGAAAATTTAGTTAAATTAACAAATTTTACTTCAGCACATGAAAACAATCCATCCGCTGAGAAACATAAACGATCAAAAATTCCTATACGATATTGTGCACTAGAAATTCTTCGAAGTGCAGGTCGGTCAAACTATTCCGAATTATCTGATGTTTATTCAATGGGTGTACTGATGTGGCAAACTTGTTCTAATGGACAACTTCCTTATTATACTTCAACATTAAATAGTGAAGTTCGACAAAGAAAATTAAATGGTGAAAAATTAATCAAACCATTGGTTTGTAATAATCAAATTTGGTCTATTATGGAAGATTGTTGGCATAATGAACCACAATTACGATTTAATTTTGAAGATATGAAAATTCGACTTTCTCAAGTTAATCTTAAGTAAATAATATCATAAGTTCTAAGAAGATAGACTTTTTTCTCATACGCTTTGTTTTTCATTCAGATCAGAAAAAACTTTTCAATATAAAATGAATGTTAATGTTAAAATGGGCAATCAACTTTATGATAAATTCGGAAAGAAATTCTATGAAGGAGAATTCATACCGAACAATGATAAATCAATTATTCTTGTTGTCATGAACGAAGAAACAGCTAGACAAGAAGTTCCATTTTATTTGCAATTAAATTCTCATTCACATATTGTACATACATTTGGTTTAGTTAAATATGATCCTCGATCAACTACACTTGTACAAGAACGTACTCATTATGGTAATCTTCAAGCAGTCTTGTGCAGTCATCAATTTCGACCGTCAGAAAATGTTTTAATCAAAATTTTCTTACAAATTATTGATGCAATGATTTATATTGTTAATCAAAATATTATTCATGGTGATTTATGTTGTTCAAATATTCTTGTTTTTCAAATGAATTCATTCAAACCAGAAGAGAATTTGGTTAAATTAACAAATTTTAATTTAACACGTATGAATGATCCATCATTTATCGGTAAAAAACAAACAATTTTTCCAATACGATATTGTGCACCAGAAATTCTTCGAAATGAAAATCAATCAAATTATTCTGAACTATCAGATGTTTATTCAATGGGTGTTTTAATGTGGGAAGCGTATTCAAAAGGATCTATTCCTTTTCAATCATATATAAATGATGATGATATTAGACAATGTAGATTAAATAATGAAAAATTATCAAAACCAAATGAATGTTCACAAAAAGTATGGAATATTATTCATGATTGTTGGTATCTAGAGCCAGAACTTCGATACAATTTTACAGACATGCAATATCGAATTTCTAATGCTCAGATCATGTAAATATCTCCATTGGTAATTGAAAAAATTTTTCTGAAATGTGGACATTTCCAAACAGACATATAGTTGTATAGTAATTTAAAATCACTGATTATAAGAAAACAGTATTTGATAGAATGTACATAATCTAAATTACATATTATTAGAAATTTGATTGAAGACTAACGAGGAAAGTATTCTAATTGGTAAATCGATGTTGATATGTTTCGATTTTTTTAAAATCTACTTACTTCTATAACATTGTTATGATGTATCATTTTAATTAGAGACAAGATTTAAAATATTCAGAATAAACTATTTTTATTAAATTGCAAAGTTTCAAGTTGAAATTCGAAAATCAATTTTTCCAAAGTACGAACACTTTTCACGATATTCATAACTCATTTGGGTTTACATAATACACATAGTCTCAACTTAAAAGCAATTTATCACTTGGACGACTTCTCTCGTAAGTCGTTAAAATTGTGTTTATTCATATGAATAATTTTGACTTTTGTTTTTTGAAATCGTAGTTATCTATATTTTATGTAACTTCATTTTTCTTTTTAGATCTCCACAAAACGAAAATCAATATCTAACAAATGATATATCAGAACATTCAGTAAAACAAAACTTTGTTGTATTATTATTTGATTATTTCTTTTATAGACTTCCGATGCAACAACACTAGATCCTACTCCTCTACTCCGAGCGTAAATAAAGACTTATGTTTTAATGATTATGAACATATATTCATCTAATGAATAGGCCAATGCCAGTTCCAGAATTATTTTTACAGGAAATAAAAAGTCACAATGTAAAAAAATTATTTATTATTAGATCATGTAATGATTTCTTTCTTTTCTTATTTCGAAGAAATCGTGGGTTCTAAACTCTCTTCCTTCTGAAGTCAGCAACAAATCTAATAAATATTCCTCAAATCCAACAAGAAATAATCAGGTATTAATAGGATCATTTGTTTAATAAATCCGTATTTTCTTTGAAGGCATCATTGGAACAATCAAATAATTCTCATTTAACTTCCAGCAGTCGAATGAAGGTATGGATGAAATAAATTTTTTAAAATTATTTTACAAATTTCTTATAGGAGGCAAATTCATCGTCATCGATATTAACAGCAACATCCTCGAAGTATGTAAATAAATCATGTAATTTATTATAACAAATTTTATTTTCAGATCTTTGTTCGGTCGAGTTCGTTCGTTTTTTCGTAATATTACAAAGAAGAAATGAATCTTTCAAACATTAATGTAAATATTCATTGAATAAAATTCTTTATGCAAAAAATAACTATAAAGCAAGAGATGTTGAAAAATATTAATTAAATCATTGAAATAGATACGTGCAACATTTTAATATACAGGTCATTCCATTTATTTTGAAACGATTTGCATGTTGTTTTTCTTGGCTGATAACTGAGAAAGATCTCATGATTCTCATATCACTTGATACTCATAATACGCAACATGTTGTTATGATGTTTATATTTTGCATAAGCGAATGTCTCGTAATAAAATATCTGATAATATGAAAGGTATCGTCAAACGTCT